TTAAACCTGTTCACATTACACTAAACTGGATTAAACCTGTTCACATTACACTAAACTGGATTAAACCTGTTCACATTACACTAAACTGGATTAAACCTGTTCACATTTACACTAAACTGGATTAAACCTGTTCACATTACACTAAACTGGATTAAACCTGTTCACATCACACTAAACTGGATTAAACCTGTTCACATTACACTAAACTGGATTAAACCTGTTCACAATTACACTAAACTGGATTAAACCTGTTCACATCACACTAAACTGGATTAAACCTGTTCACCAACTGTTGCTGAATGGAGGAGAAACTGAAACATGACAACATGATGGAGTGACTGACTGAACAACTAGACATGAAAGTAGATTATGAAATATGTAGTTTGGACAATAAATACTAAATCTGAAAATTAAATGTTAATATGGAAAATAAATTTTTAGTTTGCTAAATAAATATTTATTTTGAAACTAAATATTTAGTTTGTATGCATTCCCAAATTTTTCACTGTGAAATGCTAAATATACTAAAATACTGATTTTTGTTTTACAGTCAATCAACACTAGAGTGATGATTAAAAGTAAGTACAAAATCATTTTTATCAGAAGTTCCTCATGACAACTTTATCAACCTGCCTCTGATTTCTGACTTCCACTTCATAGTTCTGCAGCTCTGAAAGAAGAAACTACCACCCCGGTGAACTGTGATGTCATAAGTTATGCAACATCGGACACATTTACTTTCAGTTTCAATTTACTTCTCTAGGCGTGGCTCCAGTCTGGTTGTTGTGTCTCTGTTTGTTGTTAAGATGTCCTCCATCAACTGTATTGTTCAAACTTGCAGTTTGAACAAACGGTAAGTTTGTTTAGTTTCCTACTTGGTTTTTTCATTTTAATTTACAGTCCTGTTTGTTTGTGTTCTCTGATGTTTGGAGAACAGGTTCATTTTATTGTTCAGCTCAAAGTTTCATCTCTCTGCTGTTTGAAGGTTAATCTACAGGATTATTAGATTACTGATGAACTGGAATCAAACAACATGATGAACAGCGGATGTTTCTTTGTTTTCTCTGAACAAATTGATTCATGTTTTCATTTCCTGGTATCAAACTCCGTTATCCACCATTAAAGACAGAAACAACAGTATCTTGTTGCTTCCTTTCAAAAAAGATGTTATATATCATTATTATTATAAAATATTACTATTGAAATGTGTTCAGTTCAGTCAGATTATTAAAAAGGTAATCTTTGTTGCACAAATAATCCACATGTAGAGTATCATTAATACAAGAAGTATAAAAGATACAGCAACGATAGCTGCTGCTGTTCAGGTTGAATCAGTGAATGTAAATGTTGCTCCATGTCTCCATCTAGTGGACTGATAGTAGAAGTGCAGGTTGAATCAGTGAATGTAAATGCTGCTCCATGTCTCCATCTAGTGGACTGATAGTAGAAGTGCAGGTTGAATCAGTGAATGTAAATGCTGCTCCATGTCTCCATCTAGTGGACTGATAGTAGAAGTGCAGCAGCTGATTCAGTGAATGTAAATGCTGCTCCATGTCTCCATCTAGTGGACTGATAGT